CTTGAAGTCTAATTTGTTAGATATTAGGATTGCTACACTAGCTTGTTTCTTGGGCCCATTTGTTTGGAAAGTCTTTTCCCAACCCTTTACTCTGAGGTAACGCCTGTCTTTGAAGTTGAGGTATTTTTTTTGTATACAGCAGAAGTATGGATTCTGTCTTTGTATCCATTCTGTTAGCCTGTATCTTTTTATGGGCAGTTTAAGACCATTGACATTGAGGGCTATTCATGTCCATTGATTGTTGGTTCTTGTTTGTTTTGGATTGATTGTTGATGTCTGTGTGTGTGGAATTCCTCCTGTTTGTTTTAGTGTTTGGTAAAATTGGATTATCTATTGCCTATGTTTTTGTGAGTGTAGTTTCTTCGTTGCATCGGAGTTTTCCTTCTAGAAATTTCTGTAGTGCTGGATTTGTGGATATGCATTGTTTAAGTCTGATTTTGTCATGGAATATCTTGTTTTTTCCACCTATAGTGATTGAAAGTTGCTGGATATAGTAGTCTGGGTGGGTATCCATGCTCCCTTAGTGTTTGTAGGATATCTATCCAGGACCTTCTGGCTTTCAAATTTCCATTGAGAAATCAGATGTGATTCTGATAGGTCTGCCTTCATATGTTACTTGCCCTTTTTCCTTTGCTGTTCTTAATATTTTCTCTTTATTCTGTATGTGTGGTATTTTGATTATTATGTGTCGATGGGACTTCTTTTTGTGGTATAATCTGTTTGGTGTTCTGTAAGCTTCTTGTACTTTCATAGGCATATCCTTCTCTAGGTTGGGGAAGTTTCCTTCTATGTTTTTATTGAATATGCTTTCTGTACCTTTGAGCTGTATTCCTTCCCCTTCTTCTATACCTATTATTCTTAGGTTTGGCCTTTTCAGTGTCCCATATTTCCTGGATATTTTGTGTTAGGGATTTTTTAGACTTGAGATTTTCTTTGGTCGATGACTGTATATCCTCTACAGAGACTTCACCAACTGAGATTCTCTCTTCTTATTCTATTGGTTATACTCACATCTTTAGTTCTTGATTGTTTACCTAGCCTTTTTATTTACAGCATCCCCTTGTTCTGTGTTTTCTTCATCTATTTCAGCTTTCATGCATTGAACTGTGTAGGGAGACACTGTAGCCCCGCCTCCTAGTAGCCTGGACAGGTGTGTCAGGGCATGGTGAGGGAAGTCTAAGGTGATGCTGGAACTGTTCTTAAGGGACTGTGCACAGTGGAGAGTGCCTGCTCCCTTCTTCCTTCTCTCTGGCCTGGCTGTCTTGCTGCCCCTGGCATGCTTTGGCTTGTGCTTGGCTGGTGTTTATCTGAATAAAGAGACCTTAGCCTTACAGACTGCGGATTGTTCTCTTCAGAACTGTTTCACGTGCTTCCTTCACTTGTTTGGTTATTTTTGCTTGTTTTTTCTTCTATTTCTTTAAGGGATTTTCTTGTTTCCTCTTTAAAGGTCTGTATTATCTTCATAAGTTAATTTTTGAGGTCAATCTCTTCTTTATCCTCTGTGTTCGGCTTTTCAGATCTTGCTGGTGTGGAGTCCCTAAATACGGTGGTGTCATATTGGTTTTTCTGTTGTTGGGTATATTCTTACTCTGCCTTCTTCTCGTCCCTTCTTCCAGTGAGTGCATGTGGGGTCTCTCCCTCTCTCTGGTGGCAGGTGGAGGCACCTGCTCAGCTGGATGGCAGAGGGCAGTGGGTGGACAAGGGTGGGGTGTGTCTGGACTCAGGGTCTGGGCTGGTCCACTCTTGCCCAGATGGGCTCAGGCAGAAGCGAGCAGGGGTTGACGGAGGAGGTTGGGGAGCATAGCAGAACCCTGAGCCTCAGGTGCCCACAGCAGGACAGAGTGTAGAGTGTGGACAGGGGTGAGGTGTGTTCCGACTCAGACTCAGGGTGGGCATTCTGGTCTGGGAAGGTCCACTCTTGTGGGTGGGGTTCAGGCAGAAGCAAGCAGGGGTTGACGGGGGAGGTTGGGGGTGGGCAGCCCAGTGCCCAGACTCACCTGAGGCTCCGGTGTCTGCATCAGGATGGACACTTTTCTTATGAGTGATGGAGTTATACAACTGGGAAGGAAAACAGGCTTGCAACACTTTAGATGTTGGGTAAACTGCAAACTATGAGCTGCAGCATGGTTCAGGAGAATCAGGGAATGGAATGGTGCTCTGAGACATTGAACATTTGTCATTGGGATGGTGATGCTAATTACTACAAGGAAATTAAGACCCATTCAGGAGATAAAGGGTGGGATAATGGATTTTGATCATAGTGAGTATATCTACATTGTGGATGAGGATTTGCTATCAATTATACATTTCCTCTTGTCCCTAAATAGACAAAGCTTGAGGCTCAAGGCGAACATCAGGGGCTATGTAGGAGAGTAAAAGCAAAAGGAGATAAGGAATTCTGGTGAAAACATATTCTCAACACAAACACATTACTTACTCAGTCGGTAGAGCATGAGACTCTTAATCTCAGGGTCGTGGGTTCGCCCCACGTTGGGCGCCAGATATTGGATTATGGTCTCTTTATTTCAGAGGACAACAGGGTGAAACACAGGCCAGAGCTAGGTTAAGAACCCAGCCAGCGCGGCCAGAACAAAAAGGGGGCCCGCGTCCCCACGTGCAGCCCCTTAAGAAGCTCCCTTACGTCATCCCGGCTTTCCTTCACCACGCCCTTATGGGCAAGTCCCCGGGTCCACCTGGTACCTGCCCCAGGACTATTGGGCGGGGCTAGGGTGACTCCCTACACAAATAAGTGAATGCATTTAATTGGGGGCTTGCTTACACTTCCAGAGGGTGAGTCCATTGTCAAGGCAGGTAACATGGTGGTATGCAGGTATATGCTGGAGCAGTAGTTGAGAGCTACATCCTGTTACAAACACACCACACACACACACACACACACACACACACACACAGAGAGAGAGAGAGAGAGAGAGAGAGAGAGAGAGAGAGAGAGAGAGATTGAGAGAGAGAGAACTGGTCCTAGGAAAGCCTTTGAAACCTTAAAGTCCACCCGCAGTGATAAACTTCCCCCAATATCCTAATCCTTTGAATACTTTCAAATAGTGCCACTCCCTGGTGACTAAGCATTCAAGTATATGAGCCTATGGTGGCCATTCTTATTCAAACCATCACATCTTTATGTATTTAAACCACTGGCAACAGTCACACAGTCAACCTGCAGATGGGTTATACAGAAAGAATCTCATATCAGATCATATTCTCATATTCAAAGTCATTACACCATGCCTTCAAAGTCAAATGCATAGCTATTACCAATTATTCAATTAGCTTATTCAGCTTTAACTTCATTTCTTTTGGAGCTGAGCTTTTTTCTGGTTCTGAGTACTGCTAGAATTATGAATTATTTATGCTCAACTGTTACATTTGTATAAAAGTTTTCTTTAACCAAGAGTGATCAATCCAGGCATGGTGCATATATGTGTCTATTGTGAGCACCTCATATGTAGAGGCAAAATGATCATCATTCAAGATTAGCCTTGGTTATAATCATGGTTATAGAATGAGATGCTGTCAGAAAAACAAAATGAAAAGAACATGAATAGAAAATTAATATGAACAGAATGCTCATACAACTTTAGGAAATCAAAATCTTGGGATACATAAAAGAGATATCTGTTTATGAAGTCCAATAAAAAGGGTGATGATAGGTTGAGAGATGGCTCAGTGGCTAAGAGCACTGGCTGCTCTTGCAGAGGACAAAGTTCAATTCCTAGCGCTCAGATGAGGGCTTACAGCCATCTGTACCTCCAGTTCCAGGTGCTCTGATGCCTTCTTCTGGCCTGGTAGGAACCAGGTATGCACATGGCACACATATTCACATATTCGGGTAAACACTCAGCTCCAAAGGGAAAACAACAACAACAACAACAAAAAAAACACTTAAAAGTTGATGTAGCATATGCAAGGTTACAGAGATGAATGGACATAGTTCAGATTTCTGCTTCACCCTTTTGTAGCTGTACCACACAACTATTGAGTGTTAATTTATCTAATTTTTAATAAATTTATGTGTACTATAACTTTCCTGATAGCTACACTATGGAGGATCAGCAGTATTTATTACTTTCTTATGGAAAATGACCTTGCCACATTACAGCATAGTGGCTTCAGGTAACATGGAATGTTGTGATCATTACTCCAAAATGACTTAAAACTACTGTTAGATGGCATATAAGAGCATTACTTAAATTTCATCTGACTTATTGTCTAAGTCCCTGTAGTTCCGTGATTTTTGGTTATGTCTAGCATTCACCTGTTGTTTCTAATATCAGCAATGTTGTCTGATATCTCACCAATACAAATATTTGTTGGCCTAAGAGGTGAATTATTTTAATGTTAATAATATTACACTATAACTGATTTCTTGATAGTTCTTTATATGTAACTATATTCATTTAGAAATACTTTCAATGATGTCTCTAGGTTCCATCAGATTATCAAAGGTGTTCATTGTACATGTGGAAAAAACCCTTGAGGTAGAGGAAAACTATGGATTACTAGGACATTCATTATGTTCTATTCCTTTTTCCTCAGAAAGCCTCTAGAAAAATGTTGATATCCCATGAATAGTGAATAACTTTTAGCCATGTTGGTTGGTAGGGCTCTTGATGGAGGATGGAAGAAACCAAGGCACAGCTGTAGAGCGCTTTCTATGCATCCAGGGGACTAACCTGCAAGTGTAGTAGAGGGCTCAAGAGGAGGAACACTGGGGTCCCTATCTACTTCTCAATGGGAATGGAGCTTTCTGGTGTCTAGAAAACCAAGAAGGCAGTGGGGTGGCCTCATGATCCAGGTGGAAGTTTAGACTAACAGGCATATTGCACACTCCTGTGCTCCCGCGTGTTTGGAGAGCTGCTTCAGGTGCAGATCAGAGGTGAATGCAAGCGGCTCTCTCCTCATGCCTGCACAGGAAGACCCTGAGAGCGCAGCTCAGAAGCGCGCACGGAGCAACGTCCTCGCCACGCCCACTTCCTGCTCCATCCCGCGCCATTCCTGGTCCCTCTCCCGGTGAACCGGATGCGCTGTCAGTCTCCTCCTCCGCGTCCTTAGCCTCCATCCAGCTCCCTGGAGAAGCCGCTGCCACCCCGAGGCCTTGGCCAAGAGGCTGCTGGCGACTGGCCCGGCGGGCGCGGGCGCGGGCACGGTAGGAGCTGGGCGCGCACGGCTACCGCGCGTGGAGGAGACACAGCCCTGCGGCCATGGGTGCCAGGGCCGCTCCTTCACGCAGGAGACAGGCAGGCCGCCGGCTGCGCTACCTGCCCACTGGCAGCTTTCCTTTCCTCCTCTTGCTGCTGCTGCTCTGCATCCAGCTCGGGGGCGGACAGAAGAAAAAGGAGGTAGATTGGAACCTGCAGGCGGTCGTTTGAGGGCCGGGGCGGGCTGGAGCTGGCCGCGTTGCTAGGAAGCCCCGTTGCGTTGCTAGGCAGCGGGGACGTGGGCGCTGGCGCCCGGGGGCGGGAGCCAAGTGGGCGGGAGCGGATTGGGCGTGTCCCTGGGGTGCCCCTTGCAGAGGATGCTGAGGGTGACCCTAGTCCTACTTCTAGGAAATGGGGGCTGTAGCCAGACTGAAAGCCCATGCCTCAGAGACCTTGGCTGCGCTGAACCTCAGGTGTAGGCCGGGCTTTTGGTAATTCCTTTATATGCTGGGTGTGAGAATACCCATTGGAAGTACTTGTCAGCGCAGAGGAACTATTTACTTCTTATTCTGCCCTCTTGTTTATGTTAAGACGTCGTGCTGAGTGTGTCATTCTTCATTTCTAATTATACCCGTGCAGAACTAAATGCCTATTTCTGAGTTCATCTCAGTATGTAATCAAGAGAATAATCACATTTTTAAATTAAAAAAAGTTTTGGGTCTCCCGATTTAAATTTCAGCCCACCATTATTTTGAGGGTGAGCTTTGATGTATCTGAATGAGTTGTAGAGTTATGTGTGAACTCAGTTTTGCGGAATTAATGTGGAAGTCTGGTCTAGTAGCTTCACAAAAGCATCGATTGTGGAATTGTGACTAAGATTTCTAATTGTAGACCAGTTTGGTAAGCGTGCTTTGTTTATATGGCGGAAGATGGTTTTTATTTTACGAAAGTCATAATCTGACTCTGGTTCAGTTAATTACCAGAATTTTATTAGTAAGGTAGAGAGTGAGTAAAAATTTAACAGGTAAATAGTAATTCCTTCTCTTCATTAGTTAAACATTTAAAAAAAATGTTATGGGTTGTTTTGTCTGCATGCATGTCTGTGCAACACTTGGGTTCATGGTGTCCTAGGATGCATCTGATGCCCTTAGAACTGGAGTCACAGCTGGTTATGAGTACACGATGTGGTTGCTGGGAATCAAACCCAGGGCTTCTGGAAGAGCAGGTAGTACTCTTTAATGGTTGAGGCCTCTCTAGACAACCCTCTTCACCTTTGCTTGAAACAACCTCAATATTAAGAACTGTCCCTCCCCTGCTTTTGAATTTTTATTTTTCTTTGCATGAAAAGTCAGGCATACTAAATTCTTGGTATTTTGGTAAGAGAGTGGAGAAGCACCATTGCTAAATTGAAATCACACAAAATTAGATTTTTCCAGCACTTTGTGTTTCCTGGCATATTTTCCTGATTTTTAAATTCAGTTCACAAGAAAGGTAGGATGTTTGAAGCAGGCAATTTTACTCCTTTATTCATTTTTTTGGGCAGGGGTTGTATACAAAGCAGAGGGCAGTAGTAATTGATGAGGAACTTTTGGCATTTGTGATTGCGCCTAAGAATGTCACTAGGACCACTGGAGGGGAAAATACTAGAAAGTTTAGAGGCTCATAGGTTCTTAGCATCTCCAATCCTGAGGCCATTTCAATATGTAAAATGTTGGGAAACTTACTATAATTAAATGATTAATTTTAAAGTGCATATTTGCTTCCCTTAGACATCCTTAAAATATTTGTTAGACAAGATATTTTGGTAAAGGAAAAGATTAGGGACCACTGAGGTGGCTTAGCAGGTGGAGGCGTTTGCCATCAAGCCTGATGACTTGAATTCCATCTCTAGAACCCTCATGTGGGAGAAAACCAACTCCTATAAACCATCCTCAGACCTTCACACATGTTCTTTGGCATGTGTACAACCACACATGTACATGCACAGACACACAGATGTAAAAATGGGGGGAAACATGATTTGAGATTGGAAAGGGATGTCTTCCAAAATTACCTTTGTCATAAAAAAGAGAACCAATAATATATGGTGATATTACAGGGAATGCTAGTGTATGTAAAGAAAAGGGAGATGAAATTAAGCCCTTGAAATGTCTTGAATAATATTTAGTTCACAAACTTTGATTTCGTCGAATTCTGGAAGAAAAACATACTTTTTTGGAAATGATGAGAAGTGGAAGTCCAACATTGTTTCCAGTAGATGTTTTTATTTAATTATTTTCTTTCCTGGCCTAAGACCCAGTTGTCAGTATTAGATTCTACAACATTGAATTAGAAAGCATAGCAGTTGGAACGTAATTTAAAATAGATGTTACACACAAACACACATGCGCGCACACACACACACACACACACACACACACACACACACACACACACACACACACACACACACAAGAGAGAGAGAGAGAGAGAGAGAGAGAGAGAGTAGCATCCTTCCCGTGAACATGTTTCCTTTTTTTAGGTGGGAAGCCATGTTGAAGTCTGAAGTTAAACTGGGAAAATGGGTGGTGTTTGCTTTTAATTTGGATTCTGACAACAACAATTTGCATTATGGATTTTTGAGTCACAGACAGGTGGTCCAGTTGCAAATGGATCCCTGAGTTGACACACTAGGCAAGCACGTAACCTTGAAGTTTAGTGTGCTTATTTTCAAATCCAGACACCAGGTACCTCTTTCTTAGGATACTGAGGTTAAGACTGTATAAAGTGCCCACTACAGTGCCTCACACATACTAGCAAATTAATGTAATACTAGCTACTACTATGTGAGGCTTATATTAAACAAAGTATTAATAGGATGGGGGTACTGAAATGAAAGTTAATGTTTTTTTTTTAAAGTTAATTTTTTTCTTAAATAACCTCCATAAAAATAAATTGTATGCCCTCTGTAATAAATTACTACAATACAAAATACTTAAAATGTAAAATTCTTATGTTGTTGAAGTACCTGGCTTTTCCATCTCACAAAAGTTAGTGATAGTCCATAGATTGGTGTGTGTTTGTGTACACCTGTGTGTATTATGTGTGTGTTTGTATAATTTCTTCATAAAATGACATTTATGTCCCTTAAAATGAGTTTTGTTACATATTCTGTTTAAGAGAATCAAGAGAAATAACCAAGTAGAGACGATCGAAGCTTTTTAGTTATTTCCCTTAATTACATTCAATATAGCCGTTATCAACAAACCTTTGAACCATTTTATGCTAGGTGATAGGAATTTGTGGGAAATTTTGCAGTTACATCATTAACACTTACCAGTTAATCACCTTCGTTTAGTATTGCTTTTAAATTCTAATGACTTCATCTGATTATGTCAACAAAGGTCCTTTAAAGTCATTTCCAGTGAACTAAGTGACTCTGCCAAACATCAGAAGTGTCTGTTACAATAATTTATTGCACCTGTGTGGTAGAATAGTATTTTTAGGTGTGTGACTTTTGTTTATGCTGCATTTGTGTAGCTCTGTGAAGCTGTGTTATTGTGTCTAAAACACCTGGTGGTTGAATGGCCAATAACAAGGCAGGAGTCAGGATAGGTGAGGCTGGCAGGCAGAGAGTACAAATAGAAGGAGAAATGAGGAAATGGAGCAAAAAAGAGAGAGGAAGGAAGAGGACCTCAGGGGTCAGTCAGCTACACAAATTGGAGGAAGAAGTAAACATAGAGGAAGAAGGAAAGCAAAGATGTACCAGAATAGAGAAAGGTCAAAGCCCCCAGGCCAAAGATAGAGGGGATTATTATTTTTTCGTAGTCATTTCTTGTTTTTTTTTTTCAACTTTTTTTTTATTTGAATTAGAAACAGGATTGTTTTCCACGACAATCCCGGTTCCCTTCTCCCTCCCTCCTCCCCAACATCCCTCCCCCCTTATTAAGTTAAGAAATAAAAGCTGGCAAGGGACTAGCCAAGCTAAGACTGGGCATTAATAACTAAGAATAAGCCTCTGTGTGTGATTTACCTGGGAGCTGGCTGGTAGGTCCCTCAAAAAACCAAAAGAATGAAACATCACATAACATACTTGCTCAAAATGTGACTTGTTAATAGGCTGGAGTGTGTAGGTAATAGTGAATATGCAGTATGAAAGCCTGGATAGCTCTCAGATGTTTTCTGAGAGAGGACGGGATTTTTTTTTTTTTTTTTTGCCTATCGTAACAGACATTTCCATTGTCTTCTGTGTATGTCCATGTCATTAATTTGTGAAAAGCATTTACATGAGCGTATACTAATCTCCAGTTGTTCCTCATATTTCATCTGTGAGAGACTTTAATAATTTACCGAATGTTGGTATATAGTATATTTTAAGCCAGGGACTGAAGTAGAAAGGTTGGTGACTACGGTAGAGATTTCAAAACTATATAGTAAATAACATGCTGATGCCCACACTCTTCAAGTTGTGTGCTTTAATTTAGCTGTTATCTGATAGCATGTTGAAGGCTGATTGAAATAGCTTTATCTTAATAGTCCAAACTGACTATCCATCCTGCCACTGTTTCAGAGGTGATGGCAGAAAACATGCAGTTCCTGCATCGCAGCACTGAATGTTTCTGTTCGTCAGCTCTGTGGCCCCTTTGCTCTATGGACATAGAAAGACTGGGTTGGTGAGGGAAGGCTCTTCCAGTGCTTGTCTGACAGTTTTGTATTTTGGTGTTGGTGTTTGATAGCAGTGAGCAGCTATGGACAGCAATAATAGTAACAGATGCAAACCCACGATGTTACAGCTTTTCAGTAGGCCAGGATACTGAGACCCCCAGCCTACCAATGTTACAGGTCTTGTGGAGGTCTGTGTTGTTACCCAGCCTTTGACAGCTGCTGGTATTGGCATTTCTGGGCATACTGTCTTGGGATTTCCCAGACCCTTGACTGTAGCCAGTGTTACACATCCTTGCCTTAGCATCCCTAAGACCTTTGGCTCTTACACTTGTAACAGGAACCTTTCTAGTTTCCAGTACTTGTGGGTTTTCTTCCTTGCAGTCTTCTCTCCTTCAGCCTTTGCCCCTTTGTATCTTCTTGCCTTAATTTCCACTGTTTTTGTCATAGTTGCTCTCTGGAACTGTTCAGCTGGCCCTTTTTCTGTGGCTCTTGTGCTGTGACCCCTCCCGCTGCTTTTGCTGTTCCTGCTGCTGCTTTACCAGCTATTGGTGCTGGCT